TTATTATTATTATTATTATTATTATTATAATTATCAAATAAAATAAAATATTTTTTTATTAAGTATAATCTAATTATTTTTTGGCATTTGCCAATACCGTATTTTCGGAATATAATTATTTGATAGTGGCTGATGGCTATCTTAAATAGCGCTTTGTTGCATTTCAAGATAATATAAGTAATTGCAAAATTGGTATTGTTCATTTTGATTGTCTTTGTTTTCACTCCACGGCTAACTGGAAACGTGAACACAGGATTATTCATCGCCAACTTACGTGTACGAACACGCATACACTGTGCCCTAGTGACGTGTACTAGGGCATTTGCTACTACCCTTTATTTTAATACGAAGGACAGGGTTCGATGTAGTGTGCGGTTATGATGCAAGTAGTGCATCATAGATTTGCTATAGACCGCTGGTCTATTTGATGTAACACTCGAATGTAAACTAGCCAAAAATGTGAAGTTGAACCAATCAATTTTTGAAAGACGAGTTAGAAGAACTAAACATTACTTAAAACTCTATGGGAATCATAGCGACGTATACAACGCATGTGAAATACATTGTGTGTTTAGATAAAATTCGAACACGCACTTAGCGCTTTAAACGATTATGTAACTATAGACTATATTTTGCCCTATTTTGTATCTTTCCAAAATGAAAAAATCACAGTCTGTTGACTTCTTTAACTATTTAATACAGCGTGGTTCTCTAGAGAGGCCAGAGGGGGGATAACTGGTACAGGTTACAAGAAGTAAAAAATACATTTTACGTTTTTACAGGAAATAAAATGAAAGTTTGAAAGGTTTTTACACTTCACAGATAAAGCAAATTCCTAATTACATTTTACATCTTTATAATATATTAATTTGTGTTTGAGAATCAAATTGGAAACTGTGTACGAATTGTGACAATTAATGTGGTAAATGCTTTATACGCTTACAAAAAATAAGATCGTTGTACAAATTACGACTTCTGATCATGGTCTGCTGTTGCTTCTTCAAATGGGGCACCTTCTCCATAGATCGATATGTCATCTACAAGTGATTTAATGCCAGGCAGACCCTCTATTGCTTGGTCTAGCCTGCACTGATACTCTTTCGGTGCTGTTGAAATACGGAATGGCATATATAGCCAACAGAAGCTACCAAAAGGTGTGTTGAGGTTTGTGAGATAAGAGCTTTCTATATTGAGCTCAACATGCCAAAACCAATTTTTGGCATTTAATACACTGAATACTTTGCAGTCAGGCAACACATCTTCTATTGTTGGCAGTAGGTAGTGACTTCTCTTTAAAGCTCTGTTGAGAACACAGGGGTCTGTGCATATTCTCATCTTTCCTGGCTTTACTACCATCACCAGAATTGATAACCATGGCATTGCTTCTGTTACATGTGCTATTATGTTTTCCTTTGTTAACCTGTCAACCTTTTATAGCAACTAGAACTTTCCTCAGTGGATGGACACATGGTTTCACGATTGGGTTCAACTCCAAGTGATATTTCTCAGCTAGTACTCCAGTGCCTTCAAATACATCATTGTATTCATTGACAGCTGCTCAGATGTGATTGATTTCACCTCACTACCAGTAACTCTAATTGCTGGATTATTCCTTGAGAATAGTGAGAAATTAGTATTCCTTGTATCGCTGACTGAATATAGCTTATGAATTTAATTTTATGAAACCAAAAACATCAATGAAGTTTACTACACTCGAGTGCAAGTGCAGATTAAATGAACGACAGCTTGGCGCATCACTGCTGGTGAAGTGAGCAAGTTATTGTTCAACTCGACAAATCCTACACACATCTAAACTTGCAATGGTAATCCGTACTTCTGTTTATTTATCATTGTCTTTCCTTCCCTTATCTTGATGTACGACTTATTCCGATCTGATTCGTTTGTTAAAACAGAATGTCAATCGGAGAAGGTTAAAACAAAAACACATTGAGCCGATGTCACACATGTACATTGATTTTGAACAGCAGTGTCTTCTTTCAAGTTTTGTTGTGTGTTAAATTTTTGCATTGTGTTGTTGTGTGTTAAACCAACAAGGACAATAGAATGATGGTCCATGCAGTGGCCGACATCCTGTGTGTATCATAAACAAATAGAATAGTGCTGGTTGCCAACTTTTTGCTCGCGACCGGCGCCGACCAGCGTGGGCAGATCCCTGTATCGGCCATTGTTTAGTCAACATAGAGTGGTAATTCTTCTTTCCACCTTTTCCACATGATTGGCCTTTTCCATCTTTGCACTAACGACTCGGTTATCCTTTGTGCTTCACAACCCAGTATTCCCATTAGGATATCAGTGTGATGTTTTTAGCATGTTTTTGGTATATTTTTTTGAAAAGTGATTGCTGATTCGGGCCAACGTACTCCCCCCACGTGTTCCTGTTGTATGTATTGCGTGTTAATACCAACGTAACGTTTAAGCATACAGATTAGCAAATTCAGTTATTTTTCAGCACTTTCTGCTTGTCACACAGTATGTATTTTTTATGAAACTACCAAATCTGCTTGTAGTAACCTTCACAGCGATTCTTGGCTTCAAAGAAGTTTTAACTCGTTTTTTAGCGTTGCTTCATTTGTTCACTGTCCTTTCGCTCGGTGGGCTGTTATTTCAGTTCTTGAAATGGGTTCGTCCAAACATGGAACTATAAACATAGTTCCATGGTCCAAAACATTCGTAGTATCCTTAGTTGACAATCCTCACTTCTGACACCATGTTCCAAACTTTACACTTACTGGCTTGAAAGCATAATTGGCTGGAACAGATACTTATCCCACCATATTAGTTCTCCAAAACATTTCACGCACAATACCCTCCAGCACTCCCTATTTAATTGTACATGCTCCTCCTAAGGAGATCTATAGTTATCTGGAGGGAGCATATACAAATGAATTGGGTAACTGGAAGTGAGTGTTAGAGTTAGGGATGGGGGGGGGGGCTACAAAAGGAACTCTTGCCTGTTCGTGTAATAATAATAATAATAATAATAATAATCTTTATTGATATCGTATCCCCTCTGGAATCTAGATTGGAATACAATAAGGATATGAGGAACAATAAAATACATAAGGAATAATAATAGCAATAGCAATAATAATAATAAAAGAAATAGTAATACTGTGAAAATATTATTATATAAATATTTTTGGTATTATTTTGAGGTAGCTGGTAAATTGCTTTTCATGAAGTTATAGCAGTCGCCGATAAACTTAGCAATTGCTTGGACAGTTTCAGAATTTTTTTTATTGAGAAGTGCTTTCAGATTACTGGATAAGTTAAAGTTTTCAAACAAAGCATCTCTTTCAGATTTGTCCAGGTTACAATTGAAGAGGAAGTGTTTGTCGTCTTCAGTTACATTTGAGTCACAGACAGGGCATGTTCTATTTGAGATATCTATGTTGTGATATCGCCCGAATTCAATCTGAAGTATGTGGGCACTTATCCTCAGTTTAGTCATAGATGATCCGTGAATGGGTGTGAATGCCACACAACCAGTGGCATTCTGATAAATAGATTTAAAGCACGGTGGTCGTCGCGCAGAGATTGTTCGAATTTCATGTACAATAAACAATGTATTTTACACGCGTTGTATACGTCGCTATGAGTCCCATATCGAACAGGACGCGGCACGACGACTGTCGTCCTTTAATTATGTTGTGAAATTTTCCTGAGATTTTGTTTTTGTGGAGTTTATACAAAAGACCAATGTGCCAAATGGAATCAAACGCCTTCTTAAAGTCGATGAAACATGCAAATAAATTGTTTCCTTTTTTAAGATACGACTGTTGATCTGGTATTTTGACAAAACCGAAACAAATCTTACGCAGTTTATCCCGTGACATTTTAGTTCATTTTGAGTTCACAGGTATTGAGCTTGTTTGTCGGTGGGGAAATCCTAAATTCGAATGATTCTTCACTATCGATTTTTATTAGTCAAATTATAAGCAATACATTATTTTTGTTTTACTTCTTATGTTGCATATTGTTCATTTATTTCTATTGCGTGTTTTTGTTTACCGTTCTATTCCCTGTCGCAGTTTGATCTGCGTGTTGTCGATTTTTGCGAATTTTCGTTTCTTTTTGCCGGGGATATCCGGACAAACGCCCACCCCTATTTTTTGGCAATTTTCCATGTTCAGGACCCTGGGCTCTTACGGTATTTTTATAATAAAAGAATAACAATTCAAACGACATGTGATGTTTATCATAGGTTTTTAGTTACATTGTGCATTTAGATCCGGGATATTTGGTTATTTGTCGGAAAAGCTTCCATATCGCATGAACAGGAAAACCAATGACTCAGAGTGTATAAATGACCTATTAATCAATTAAATACTGAAAGCAAACGACAAATCACATAATAACCAAAACAGCATCTGAATAAAGTTAGTTTTGTACTGTTTTGGACTTACTTTACTGGCTATACACGTTCAAACAATCACAATTTCCAAGATATAACAATTTATTAATGTCCTTACATTATCAATTATATTCAATATTGGAGAATGTATATATTAATAAACAGACACAGATGTTCAACTATTTTAGCATTTTATTTAGCATAAATAAACCCGACAATTCTCGTGTAAAGACATGACTAAAGCATCTACGTAATCTTAAAATACATTTAAACCGAAAAAATACCGTTTCATTAAGCAAGAGTATATACAAAAAAATTAATATTAAACATATTAATGACTTCATCTAAAGCAATCTAAAATCTGAGACAAACTTCATGAAAAATGTCCAAGCACCAATTAATACATTTTGTAATAACGCATAATTGTGCATAACGTTGCATTTGATTTCAAACCGAAAGTGAACACACAACGATTTAAACGTGTTCCTGGCTATGGTTCACAAGAAAAAAACAGAATATCTGTACCGATTCAATATCCAATAATGTTTCTGTTAGCAATCGATCTAGGTCAAACTTATAAGGAGCTGTAGCACTAATAGACATTGTCCGCTGTATTAATATGTTGTTTTAGCATGTGTATGATATTATCTTTTAGTATGTGAAGTACCAAGTATTACATTAAATGCTGCCTTATAAGTACATGTGACATGTTACTATCCATGCATATTTTATTGATTATTAGAACATTGAGCTCAGTGTAGCAGAGGCACAAGAACAGCTAAATTTATTTAACAGTTTCCGTTGTTAAAAATAAAAATGATAAATGTTCTAACGGATAATAAATAAAAAAAAAAGCTGCACTTAAAACATATTACAAAATTGAACACTGATGTTACATATGTAGATAACTAACTCAAGAAAACTACATTGGCTCTTCACATAGTAAATTGATTGATTATGAAATGCAGTTTAAACAAGTGATTGCATCTAAAACAAAATGGCCACCATTCAGACATTTTGAATCCGATCTGAAAAACAAAATGATGTTCAATTTGAACAAAATCTGTTCATGCACAACCAAGATCTAGAATTTCAGATAAGCTTGATTTTGATGCATTTTCAACATTTAGATGGTCGGCATTAGGCCATCTTCAATTAGATTTCCATGTGCGATGATAAATTATGTATTTATAAAGTTTGAACATGATATGGTCATATATGGCTGTAGAGCAGCACCCGTTATCTCATCTGAAAAACAAAATAACATGCATCAAGATTCCACAATGTCCAATATATGTAAACAGTTTGAATGAGACCATTCAATACACAATCAAAGTCCGGTTCCAGAATGGCAGAAGTGCTTGATTTGGAAACATTCTGCCATCTTGGATCAGATCACGAAATGAATGGACATGTTTATGTATCCCAAGATGCATATGTGTGAAGTTTTAATCTCATCAGTCAAGTAATGTCTGAGATACAGCTGGATAAGCACACATGCACAGGCGCACAGTCAAAACAAAAGTCCCTGTTTTCGACCTTTGTCTAAATAAGGACTAAAAATGTACAATTGCTCTGGTTCATAAGAAAATTGCTCAACTGCAAACTGAATTCAAATTCGTGCTTGGTTTTCTATTCATCTTGTAATTATACTTCATTGAAAAAACACTGATGTGTTAAGAAAATACATGGGTGTTTGGCTTGCATTACGAAATCTATTGCACACTAATCCATCTGTACCCCATGATAAGAATTCAAAATACTTTAATTTAATACTTGCTCATAAATGACACTTAAATACAAAATATATTTTTGAGTTATAAATATCAAATTGTTAACAAATTGAAAATTAAATACTTGATTTAAATATCTGTATCTTTATAATACCCTATAAATAACCAGATTAATTTTTCAAAAAATAATAAACAAGAATAATAATCTCTATATATGCATTTGTTACTATAAACCCCTCAATACATATATTCTATGACTAAGTATTGTATTCATTAATACTTTTTTTAAAACATTAATGAGTCTGTATTGCTGTAACATCCCTCTTCAAGCATCACATAGAAAATGCAGACAAATCAACTGCATGTAACTAACCTTCAAAAATACATGTAGTATAAACCATTAACACCTTGATTTAAAAAAATACACAATTATCTCCATAGAGAATAAAGGGAATAAAAATATAGAAATTTATCATAGAAATATATATGAAAGAATAAGACAACATTCTTTTTCTTGCATATTCATTACTTCAAAAAACTTACTTAACCATATTTGGTAAAATTACTTAATATTAAATAGACTTTATTTTATAAATTGTCCAAACATCTGACTTGATATATCAAGCATTTCAGAATACAATGAATACAATATGCTTGCACACTGAAAAAAAATATATAAATTAATTCATATACCTTTTATTTAAAAAAAGGCGTACACATTTTGTGTCCTAAATATATTGCACACATTTGTCAAGTATTAAAAAAACAACTGCTACAGTATTCTTATAAACATAATACTGTGTATATTGCCATGAGCGCTTGCATAGCTCCTCGTACCAACACAACACTGATTTCTGAAACTAAAGTTTAAAACACTCCATAGAGAAATACCCGTTGATAGAATCACTTCACCATAATTAAAAATTAAAATATATATATGATGCTTATGATAAGATACTGAGACTTTCTGTGTTGGTTTGTTAAGTATGAAATAGAATCAATCTATACATCAATAAGTAATAAATAAGTTATAATGAGAAGTTCATGGCATATGCCAGTGAAATAATCTATAAAACCTACTTGAGTAATGTATTTCAATCATAAACTAAAAATGCATTACATGTTTACAACATTATACACAATACTCGCACAGTTGATTGTTGAATCATGAAATGTAAGTTCAAAATGAACTTATTTATTTCTGTGTTTTTGTCGTATCTCATTTATCATAGCAAATGAATGTAACAGATACTTAGTGTTGTCCAATTGAGAAGACTGCTCTCATCTTCAATTCAATACCATAATCTGGAAAGTAGTTATTCACATTCAGCACAATGCTTGTCCCATGCTTTCATCTGTGATACAATGAAATTATAGTTAATAACTATGCAATATATTGCCAGTGTATGAATTAGCAGTGTAAAAAAGAGCACAGGGCATATGTCAATTTATACTGTCAACAGATTATTGTGAATGAAAAACATTAATTTTGAGGGGAACAAACATAAAATATAGCATAACTATTACAGCCCTGCCCATTGAGAATCTAGATTAAATATGGATAGATACAAACTAATGGTGCACGATCTTTTCTTCGCATGGCAAAATAAAACTCTAAACATTTTGCAAGAACAATTCTAACCAAAACATAACAGAGATTGTATAAAAGTTCCCAAATAATACAGTAATATATATATAAACAAAATCTTGCTAGCCAGATTTAGTGGGAAAAGTATACTGACATGTACTCATAATGAAAACTACAATATAGTTTACTAAATTTATCTAATCTATATATTTATGCATATGTTATATGCACTGCATAAAAATGGTTCTGGTAGTTGAGGTCAAGCCCGCCTAACATAGTTAATATTAAACTGGTAGCATAACAATAAAATTTTGCTTAGAATTATGTTCATGTATATTATTTATTTCACCCAATGCACATACATATCAAATGAAAACAATATGCATTATAAAATGAAGTTATTGTCACAAAAATAAACGAATATGTAGATCAACACAAGATACCTTCAAATCAAATTTTAAAAATACTTTTTCCTCACCAAAATGGCAGAAACATTTGTCAAAATGGAGAAATAGGGCTACCCTCACAAAAATTTAACAGATCGCAAAGAAAATTTTTTTTATTAGGTGCCATCCTTAAATCTACCACATAAAATACATTACTAAGTAGAAGAGGGTCAGCAATGGGTATTTTCGTAAGCTGTAATCAATTGTTTTATTTTCTAATAATGTAATTTAGATAAATAAAAATCATAAATTTGTAGACATGGGCAAGGTGAAAAATGTAATCAGCTATTTTATTCGTCCGTAATTTGTACAACTATCTTATTTTTGTAAGCGTACAAAGCATTTTCCACATTAAATGTCACAAATTGTATGCAATTTCCAATTTTGATTCTTAAACACAAATTATCAAATATATTATATTTCCTGTGAAAACGTAAAATGCTTGTTTTATTTCCTGTAACCTGTACCAGCTATGCCCCCTTACCCCCCTTCGTAGAACTCTAGATTGCCCTCTTGTTTGTCCATGTGGCTACATTTCAATTATCAAAGCATGTCTTGCTGTTTATTTCCAGAAACAAATACATTTTACCAAAATGACAACAAATTGAAGAGACTTGAAGTTCATCATGAAATAAACACCCTAAATACAATGAAAGGTAAAACTAGAACATGCATAAACCTCAATGTACATTAAATTAGCTAAGAATTACAAATGGATTTGAATGGACACTTAGGGGACCATATCATGAACTAATTTTATTTATACCAGCTGATGAAATAAGAATTCTCTCATGCTATGTTAGCTTCGGTCAAAAATAAAATATGCAAATCAAAAAACAAATGATGAACATATTGCACTTTGAGTACTTACTTGGCACTTTGGGCTGCAATACCATGACTTTTTGCATCCTGAGCACAAGAAAGATGCCTCTTTCTTGCATAGAACGCAATAATGTGTACCACTGTCTTCTATCTCTGTGACGACCTCTTCCTTTTCACTTGACATGTCATCATCATCTAGGACAATAACATCTGATTTATTTGATATTGGGGCTGTTTCTTTCGGTCCCCCAGAATCCATATGCTGCATAGTCATTACCTTTGTTTGTGCTGAACTTGGTGCTGCATGTGCGCTTTCAGCAGAGACTGGTACCATTGTCATATTCCCTGCAGACTCTGAAACCATTTGACCATTTGCAGCAAGGATTGTAAAACTATTACCTTGAGTAACATTCTGACCTTGTTGAGGTTTCTGTATTGTAACTGACTGTCTTTCATGCTCTCGTTGGGCAATCAAATGAACCATGCGGGTATGATCTGGTCCGATTCTTCTTGTAATAGGGGAACCTTTTTCCTTGTGGAGAGATGGACTTTTTTGTGCAGGTTTTTCCACTGCTCCTCCAGTTGAAACAACCTGTTCATTGGCATGGTTTATTTGTTCAAGCTGCTGAGGAGATTGCTGCAATAAAGCATTTTTTTGTTCACTGGCTCTCCTATGTCGATAGTCCGCTGCATCCAATCGTTGCTGAACTTGTAATTGTTGTTGGCGTTGCTGCTGCTGTTGTTGTCGTTGTTGATGCTGCTGCTGCTGTAGCTGCTGCTGCTGTAGTTGATGCTGGTGATGTAGATGTTGTAACTGCTGTTGTTGTTGTTGTTGTTGCTGACTCTGCAATATTTTCTGCTCGTTATCTTTGAAGACACCATATATATTACCAAGAATTTTGTTAACCTAAAAATAAAAAGGTCAAAATGACACAGTCCCACAATTTGTGCATTTTTCGTGTATTTGTAATGAGTGAGATCGGTCAAAACCTGTCAGAGATACGGTCACAGAGCATCTCACCAGTAAGTCATTTTGAATATGTTCAATGTACATGCATTTTCAACATTGAAATGGTTGCTATTCGACTATATTAAATTGATTAAATGTATGTGCTTATGAATGATATATGATGTGCTATGTATGTGTAAAGTTTGAATGTAATCGGTCAATGAATGTCATAGATTATATGGTCAACAACATTTTTTGGAAAAAATGGCCACCAGTCAACCATTTTGAATACATGACATGCATCAAATGACATGCATCAAAGACTCAATATTTCCAGGAGACTTACCAAGTTTAAATAAAATATGTCCATGCACGATTGAGATACATTTCTGATTGGGAAGGAATGCTTTTGATGGTTTTCAGCACCAAAATGACTGCCATTGGGCCATCTCCAATTGAAACATGAAACAATTGCCTCTGCACATGTATGGAATGTGTGTTAAATTTAAGAGTTAAATGCAATTGGCTGGGTCACATTTGAATACAGGTTGGACGGATACATGGTAGTCTTCATTTTCTGACTATGTGACTATATAATGTTTTGTGTTCTTTCTTCACAGATTACAATTTTATTTCTATTTGTTTTTCATGTTGCAGTTATGGCTTCACATCGATGCTCAAGTATATCAATGTTGACACATTAAGCTGGACCACTGAAAGAGGCGTCAATGTCATAGTAAATGTACATGTTTAAGGCTCACCTCCAGTGGATGACGTTTTGGGATGTGCCCTTGTGGAATTTGTGGTCTTATTTCTCTAATCTGGAAAAGAAATATTTGAATGTATATAGATAATTATTTTTAGAAATAGGGAATTGTTAGTATTGTTGAACACTGATAGGGAATGTAACAAACCTGTTGGTTATGCTGTTGTTGGTGCTTCTGCTGCATGTTCATTGGATGTCCTTGAGTTCTAATCATTTGAGCCACTGTAGTACCAGGAAGATTTGGGTATGGAAGTGGATTGATAGGTCCACCAACTGTGGATGGTATATGTCCTCTATACATGTGGGATTGTCTTTGCTGCATCTGTGCATGAGACATTTGATTCAAGTGAACTTGATGGGAGACAGGATGTCCTACATCAGATGTGGGCACCACTGGTTGTTGCATCTGGCCAGATGCTGTCAAAACAGGAGCTGGCATTTTTTGCTGCATCAATGATTGGTGAATCTGCATGTTATTTCTGATCTGGCCAGTCATTCCCGGAGCATTATGAAAAGGAGTTCCATGTTGTAGTTCCATTGATAATGGTACATTACCATGTAATGTGGTTGGCATACTAGGCAGGATGGCAGCCAGCTCAGGTCGAATCTGTGTTCCTGTTGCATTTGCTCTTGACAGAATAAGCTGCTGCTGCTGCTGTTGCTGTTGTTGTTGTTGTTGTAGTTGTAGTTGTTGTCGTTGCTGCTGCTGCTGTTGCTGTTGTTGTTGTTGTTGTTGTTGTTGTTGTTGTTGTTGACGTTGCTGTTGATTGTAATGTTGTTGAAGTTGCTGCTGCTGATGTAGATGTTGATTATGCTGCTGTTGTTGCTGCTGTTGACGATGATACTGGAACTGTGGTTGCCCAGAAACTGCTTGCACCTGCTGGTGATGCTGGTGTTGAATCTGCTGACTTCCAGCTCCTTGTCTTCTTTGTAAATATTCCTGATGCATTATGATCTGCTCTTTGGATGATAGGTGAGTGAGGGCATGCGCTGGCACAAGCCCTTCCAGCTGTGAATCATTCTTGTTGCTTTGCATGACAGTCATTGGAAATGCTTGTTTCTGCTGAGCTATCATGCGAGAATCACTAACTACCTGTTGTGCTGTAGATAATCCCAAAGCTCCCCTTTTACTCTGACATTGTTTTTGAATATTGTAATTATTTACCACATTGGCTCTCTCAATATCTTGACTTCTTAATGAGTCAAAATGTTCATCAAACTGCTTTCGCTCTGTTTCAGTCATTCTATAACCCAGTGCATTCTCCTTCGCTTCTCTGCAGCTATGTTTTATAGACACGTCATGCATATTATTTCCATCTCCATGAATGCTTGTATGAGCATGTTGATTTTGTAGCACTGCTTGTGTGTGATTCAAGTTACTTGCTTGGGGCATCTTATTTCCCATTCGTTTCAACTGCTGTTGTTCGAATTTCTGTAAAAGTTCCCTATCAAGACGTATCTTTTCCCTTGCATATTGCATTTTTCTCAAAAGTTCTGCTTTGTCTTTTTGTTTCTGAATCAAATCTTCTCTCTCTTTTTCCTTCAAACTTCCAATGGCAGCAAGTCTCTCAAGTTCTCTTTTATGATGGAGGAATTCTTGCTCTATAATGTACTCTCTTGCTTGAATGTCATGTAGATTGACAACTTTCTCCCTTAAGTTTGGATCATTCATTTTGTGGGTATCTATTAGAATTTCCTGTATTGGAGCTTGCATCAATGATCCATTTGCGTGTGCTTCCACTATGGATTTGTGTCGCTGTGTCAATATAACATTATTTTCCTGTCTTTTTACATTGTTTGTTTGTTGTTGGCTTTGCAAAGTAGGAGGATTATGTTCCTTTCGACCATCTAGATAGTGTGAAAGTGGTCTACTTGGCATTGTGTTCATTGATGCTGATTTGTGGATATCAACTCCTTTACTGTGGATTGAGGCACTTACATCAGATTGAGAAGGTAGAGCTGACCACTTTCTTTGTGGCTCATCATCTGTTTTGTTTTCATGCTGTCGCTTTGGAGAAATTTGCATTAATCCACTATTTCCGTGGTTTGTTCTCATTTCTGGCATTATTTCTGTTACAGATTGAGGTTTTTGATTCTGGTGTTCTGGTCTCATATTGGGATCCCTGAAAGAACTCTCAATTGTAGATTGTGACATTCGCTCCAAATTTGTCATTACACCAGGATTGCCTCGTTTCTCTACTTTTTTCCTTTGATTCTGTACTACCCAGTCTGCATGGGCAGATGATATCATGTTGCATTCCTGTGATCCTTGCTGTGAACAATGTTCAGTTTGTATATTTTGATTTGCTGGTTGCAGCTGTATCTGGGTCATAGTTGTATTGTGTGTTACAATCTGTCCTGTGCAATTTTGTACTGGTTCTTGATTTTGTGATGTAGTTGGTTCTTTTGGTACTTGGTGTAAATGTTGCTGTACATTGGAATGATCTGGGTGTCTTTTCCCATGGCAAGGACAATTATCATCTATTTTCATCATATAAGAACAAGAGACATTTTTCTCAGCTGGTGGTCTGAATGCACTCTGTTCACCAGACCCAAGAGCACGAGCTGGAATAAGAGATTCTCCTTTATGCGTAATGAGAGTTGGTCTGAACCTTTTTGGCAAACATGACTGGTTTCCATAATGAAGATGAGTTGTCTGAACTTCTTTATAGCCCATGACCGGTGTTACAGCATCTTGCTGGTCAATTTGCATGGCTGGATATTTTGATTCCACTGCCTGATTTGTCCCTGCACACATCAAAGGATAGGCTGTTGCTCTCACTGTGACATTTGCACTGCCATCAACTATATCTTGTGCAGCACCAGCGACTGTATTTTCTGACTGCGTCTTTTCATTTATTGCTTCACCTCCAGTACCAACAACACACATTTCTGCAGGTTTAGTTTCAAGCTGTGAACATATAAGAGTTTCAGGTGCAGTCTGCTTCTTTAGGGGATGGACTTTCAAAATTGGTGTATTTCCTTGGTAGAACCCTGTATCAGAAAGAAAAAAAACACATCAGATAATACAAGGCAATATTTGATTTACTATCAACACATGATGTAATGGAAAATGAAGACTACCACTATTTCTGCAAATCAGAGACACAATTTTGTCCCATGGTGCTCTGGACAAACCAATTATCAATTCAAAATTAAATCTGCCATAATAAATGTATACCGGACTTGTGTTTAGTGTTATATTTGAAACCTATACAAAGGTACACTAATAAAATGATTTAAAAAAAAAAACATTTAAATTCTGAGGAGCAACAGAAGTTGGAAACAATGTATCCAGACCATGACCCCTGAAAGGGATTGTAGTATTGCTTGCAACACTTATATATTTATTCACAGTGTTAATGTTCATGCTTGCTGATAATTATACACAACAGCAAGACCATACACTCACCATGGCTTAAAAGGTCTACTTCAATTTACAAGCAATGCCATTTCAATAGTGGACAGTGGTCAGTGGCTGTTTGCATGTGGCTTGAGAATCAACTTCAATTTTGTGGTCACTATATATGTGTAAGCTAAATTCTTCACAAACTGAGACACTAATAGCTGTTCTTGCCTAATTCTTGTGCTTTTAAAACTCATCGTTTTTACAATAGTAAATTACTTTTTCCTTAGAAACTAATATTTATTTTTGTGACATAAATACCTGTGTTCTTGTTTTGTTGAGCCAAATATATATTCTTATCAACAGATACTTCTTGAACGACCTTGGGAACATCCTGGTTCAATTTCTTGGTACTTTCATCACATGACTGTGCCTCAACTGCAACAGTGTTCACACCTTGTGTGCTTTCATTTGTCTCTTCACTCAGTCGGGATTGCTTTGCGACAGCTGGCTTTACAGGTATTAAAGGATCTTTCTTTAATGGCGGAGGGCCTTTAGGAATACTTTTAATCTTCAATTCAACTGCAGCATGCTCATCATCAATGCAGTTGGAGTTCATTTGCATATTATTGTCTGGTGTAATGACTTCTGACAATATAGATGTAGATTTAAAACTTAGATCTAAAGGCTGTTCAAACTCTGGAGAAGGATGTAGTTCTTGATCTTGAGAATCATCTTCTTTAGGTTCTACAGATTCTTTCATAATATCTTTTCTTGGTTTTGATTTTTTTGAAGTTGTGGATCTATTCTTCTCAGTTGCAATTACTTTTTTTTTGAATATCTTTTTCAATGGATCACTTGAACTCTCCTCTGAAACTAATCATAAATGAATCAAATTCATTGGGCAATAGTTAACACAGCATTATTCATAAATATAATAATTTTACAAATAAAACAAAATATATATTTATACATTAGACATAAAATAAATAGCTTACCATTAACACATTCATATTCATCTCCCGGGTCATCAACATTATTTGCATCAAAATCTTTGGATTCAGGGCTAGTTATGCTAGAAGACACTTCTTTTATTTCTGCTTCTTTGTTAGTGAAGGTCTTTTTATTTTTTTCATTCAGATGTTTTTCCATCAACCAATTATGCCGTGGCAAGTCCTGGGCTAATCGCACATTGGTAGAACAGTCCACTGGAGTAACACAGGATGTTTTCTGCTTCTTGTTCCCTGCTGAATTTCCTTCTGTTGCTGAAGAAGAAAATACAAAATAATAATGAGTGATAGATATGCTAGTTGACAACAAGATATTACATACAGAACACAGGACTATGGACATGAAGTTTGCTACTAGACAACTACAGGAGAATTGTCAGGAACCGAATACCTACTTTTACTCCACCTTTGTCGATCTGACTATTAGTTGAGAGGGTCTTTGGAAAATTATGGAGAAGTATGGATGCTCCAGAAAGTTCATCACCAGCATACGGCAACTACACGATTGCATGCTGGCAAGAGTCCAGGAATGACCTCTAATCCATTCTCCGCTTCCAACAGAGTAAAACAAGGCTGCGTCCTTGCTCCTACCTTGTTCAGCCACATGTTCTGCCTTAAGGGACGCTGACGTGGGAATCGGCATAAAGTACCAAACTGAAGGTTCAGTGTTCAAAAACCAAGGTTTCAACTGACACCATCATAGACTTCCTAATTGAGCCATCAACGCTGCTACTGAGGCTGATATGCAACACAGCATTGACCTGTTCCCTGATGTTAGCACTAAAACAATGAGATAATGCATCAGCCAGCTTCAGGAAAGCCCTATGTTGAACCCAACATCACTATCAACAGGCAATGACTGAGCACAGTGGACAAGTTCACATACCTTGGTAGCACACTTTCTAGAAATATGGTCATTGATGACGAAGTCAACACCAGATTTGCTAAAGCGAGTATCACAGACTACACACATCAGATGAGCGTCTCCCAAAGACTTTTTGGCAAGCTACAACAAGGAAAAATGCGTTTCAGGGACATGCTAAAAGCCACAATGAAGACTTTTAAAATCAGTCACGACACATGGGAGAAGTTGGCCCAAGACAGAGGAGTATGGCAATCAGCTGTTCACAAGGGAGTTAATGTATGCGAGGCCAACAGGATTACTGCTGCTGAAGACCACAAGCAGACCAGTGAGAACAGGACCAAGAACCCTGTAGCAGCTGCTACCATTCCCTGTTTGCACTGCCAGAGAATCTTTAGGGCGCAGACTGGCCTGACCAGCCACCTGGTTTGTGATTTGTCCCACTACTGGTTGATTTCTGGGAGTAAGTGTCAGATGCCCTTGCTTCCATGATGACATTTGGACAGAGCAATGAACAACATCATTGGTCATGTCTATTGACCTCTGGTCGCCTGATTTTTTGGTACTTGATGCAGGCAAGCAGTGGCTGAACTACCAAATGAATTACCCCTGGCTCCACTGGGAGTCTGAAAGAAACTGGAGCTGTCTCTGGAGTTAAAGGCAGATGTATATTTTTATGTTAAGCTGTAGGATGTATATCATGTAATTGTGGAACAATAATTGTACATTGACAGGCAGGCTAACATCAGCATTGACAAAATACTTACTTCCTTTCTTCAATCTGCCCCTTTTGCCTTTCCTTGTTTTTTTCAAAGAATCAGGCACACTTTCCCCATCTGCACCTGTACTCTCAGTAGAAGACTCTTGTGACGTGGTGTCATCGTATGCTTTGTTTCCTGTATTCCCTTTCTCTTCTGTTATTATCCTTCCTGCTCTTCTTGACAGTCTGGGAGATTGTTTGACATTTTCTTTTTGGTGGCTATGTTCCAAATCATGCATTTTCCCTACTGTATGATTCACATCAGTTTCATCTAGAAGTTGGTCAAAATCACTACCATGTTTCCCATGAAGATCCTTGGTCAACTGATCTATTATATTGGACAAAAACCTTTCTCCCTTGCCCAAGTTCGCTCCAGCAGTCTCTTCTGTTTTGTGATCATTGTATTCCAGGGTAGACATTGTACCATGCTCTGTTCCATGCTGCTTATTCTCTTTACCATTGATTTCAGGCAGGAGTTTGTCTGTCTTCTTAATGATCGGTATTTGTTTATGTGTGGTAGCTGCAACCACTCCATCCAACAAGCGATCCACTGTGTGCGTAACATCTTCTCCACAATGTTTGCTTTCTTGCCAACCTTTCCCCGACACATGATTTTCATCTTTATCTGTCCCAGTGACATTTAAATGCAGATGTCCATTATCAGGCTGTAACTCATTTGTGTTTCTCCCGCTAACTAAGGATAGCTGGCTTGTCTGTTGGTATACAATAGAATCAGAAACGTCATTAACACTATCAGCATGGGGCACAGATGACAGCATGCTCATGTCTAATTGAGGGGGAGATATTTGTGCAGACTGTGGTGATAAGTTAAACAACGAGCACTGAACTAGAACAGGTGGATTTAAGTTGCCATTGTTTTTTGGTGCTATAGGTTTGGGCAAGATTGGCATGTTTCTTCTCAGCTTTGTTGCTTTAATTCTATTTTGATTACCATCTATTATTGGAAATGAGTCTGTGCCACAATACGTTATTGGAACAACAGTTGTAAAATTAAGTGAAGGTAGCATTGGTGGTGATGAAATTGCAAGTGTTTGTACTTGAGAATCAAAATGTTCATGCTGTGTGGTAGAATTCTGAGTTGTCTGTACTTGATTTGTGAAGCATTCATTGAAGTGAAAATTATTACTAACAACATTTTCATAATTTTTTTCTTGACCCTCAGTAGCACCATCATTCATTTCTAATACATCTTCTTTCTGAGATAACTTAGCAGCAGTTGTAATCTGTTCATTACGATCTACCCTCTCTAAGTTGGCAGTAATTTCATTCTTTACTTCACATGCCTTTTCTCTATGTACAGTGTTTCTCATTCCGTTATCACTTTCTTCTACAAAACTATCAGGTTTTTCAACAGATTGGCATGATTTGGTGTCAGTTGTCAAAGCTTCATCGTCATTTATCACCAACTCCAAAAGTTCTTCAACAGCTCTATCATGCTCCGCAAGTTGTATAACATCACATTCAGGTTGATGTGTTGATACATGAGCTGTTTTTATTTCAGCATGGTTGTTGTTGCTGGTAGTTATTGTATCCAGAGGAATTGATACAACCAACTTAACATTGTCTGTGTTATTATTGTTCTTCGGGGATCCATTTGAAATATCTTCAGATGTTTGTTTACATAATAATGAAGATACACCATTTTCAGATTCATTTTTGTTAACATTGCATAATTCTGTATTTTCAGCAGCTAGTTCTGTTTCATGTGACCCAGTAACTATTTTAATGATATCTGTGGAATTTTCTTCTATGGTTACAACTTTCCTCCAATTCTTATGTGTAAAGTGTCCACTGCTGGCAGTGTTTAATGGTTTAGTTGCCGTTTTCATAATATCATTGCAAGGAAGTGAAGGTTTATCTTGGTTTATTCGTTTGCTGTCTACACTTCTAAGGTTGTTGTTATTGCCGTTGAAGTTTATATTTTTAATTGGAATTAGCTTTGGCATTTCATTCATAAGAATTGTACTGTCATCTAAATTGCATTCTTGCTTATTGTCAAAATATAATTTGGGTGGCTCATAACAAATTTCAGTTGTATTCGCCTCGTCAGAATAATTAGCAAGGTTCATGTGTGATTCAAGTTTAGTTAGGGAACTACATTCAGCCTTTTCATCATCTCCAATGCCTTCATCACTCACATCTGTGTCGCTAGCAAGAAACCTGTCAGGCATTATAGGAGGTACATTTTCAAGTGTCTGTATCAACACATCTCCTTTTAAAGGTGTATTGTTCTTTGATTCAGAAATATTTCCACTGTGCACTTTTTTACCAGATCTATCCTGGTTAGTTTGGTGGTTACAATTACCATTCTCCTCATCATTACATTTTTTTTTTGTATTGTCAATATTATCAAGACTCATGTTATCATTGGACTCCTTCTGAGTCATTGATGTTGATTGCTTTCGTTGATGAAACAGAATCAAAGGAATTTCCTGTTCTATTCGATGAGTGTCCTTGGTAGCAGAACAATTTTCAACAACTACTGGTGTTGCTGTTTCTTTTATTTGAGACTTTGGAACTGCAACATTGCTACTGTTCATATTCTTTATTTCAATAGTAAGACTATGTCCCTTTCTATAAGGTTGTGTTGCTGATCGAGCTGAAGCAAGAACTGTTTTCACAGAATTACTGTTATTTTCACACTTTTTGATGTTCTGCTTTGCTTGACTAAGCTCCTTCTGTTTTTCTAAATACACAAGTAATGGGTCTTCCCTACAGCTTTGGTCCCTAGAGCTTTTGATAAAGTCAGTTTGGCCACAAGCATGATTCTTGTTTTCATCTTTCTTGCTTATTACCAATGAGTTTGGCTTTTTGATGTATGGTATTTTATACTTTTCTAGAAACTTTTCATTCCATCCAGGCATCTTGGATGAAGAATTAACTTTGTGCTGAAAAGAACTATGAAATCTCATTTGCTGTAAATTGTTCTGCCCTACTTGGAATGGGTCTTTTTCTCCTTTATCTCTCTCTGGCATTGACACACTTCTCTTGAACTTGATGTTATGCTGTGAGAAATTATGTGGTAACCTTTCCAATGAAACAGGCTTTTCCATTTTAGATTCTTTAGGCAATTCTGACTTGTTTTTTTGTCCACATTCATCCTCAACCTTTGCAGCAGTAGGCTTTGCTAGTGTTAACTTGCCTTGCATTCCACCTTTTTTCACAGAATTTTTTCTAGATGCCAAATGACTGTACATTGCAATACTTCGTGGAGATAATGTCTGTTTCAGAAACTTTGATGACTTTCTTATGGCACCTTCCCTTGATAAAGACCTTCTAATGTGGCCTTTCAAAGAATAATTATCTATATTTCTTTTCACTGCACTCTTTCCTTCATTTCCTCTTGTATTGTCTGAAGCATAGCAATCACTATCATTAGCTGTATCTATGCAGCTTAGCTTACGGGCGAGACTAAGGGAAGTAACTTTGGTATGTTCCTTTCTTCTTTCTGCATCATTACATGTTTCATTATCCATTTGATGGGAACTTTGTTTTCCTATACTCTGATCTGTGATGTTCCTATGATCTGATGATTCAAAGTCTATTTCTGTGTCTGAAGAGTCAGCCTATAAATTAGAAGTAAAATAAATCCATTACTCACTTGAGTTAAATGCTGATATTATGCATCTGACAAAAACAATAAAATTAACTCAGTTGACATACAAATTGTTTAAAGGTTTTACAGATGATTTGTCTTTTTCTTTGAAATTGTGCATCATGTTCACGTCACATTCAAAAACTTCCCTTTGTTTACCTCAGATGCTGCAGCAACATCAGTGATAAAAATACTACACACCAGTCGATACAATCACCATACAGACTTCATGCATACCCATTGGTGTTCTCTTAATAAATTCATATCAACATATTGTCAAACATAATGCTGAGAGCTGCCCATATGTTCCATATATCCTTAGCAATTCAATGACAGCATAACATCAATTAAATATTTTGGTTTCCACCAGTTTATTTACCACAAAACACAACTGTTATTACTTACTGAATTTCTGCCACTATGATTTTTCTGATCAAATGGATTTTCATAATATGGACATATAGTTTCCTCTGTGCAATAAATACACATCCAAGGGGCATCAAATTCTAAGGCACTGTTAGGTATGTTTGGTGCATGGCATTCCTGGTGATATCCTAGAAATTATAAAAAAAAAAGCATTACACACGATTACCTTGCCTATTTGTTTGACAATCCATGGAAGACTAGGATCTAGTTATATTAGATGCAGGGTAACCAGTGCCTTTTAGGCTGATGCCTGCAAGCGTCCAGCCTAAAGTTATGTATTTTAATGAGGTTATTACATAAAAATCATGTGATATTATGCTGTTTTACTCATAACTTGCCACTTTGTGACATCACATGAGGATCATGTAATAATATCTAAATGTTAAGTAAATATCATTTTCATATGTACAAAATGCTTGAAACATCTAGCTATATTGAAAAGTTACCTTGAAAAAAAGATTGTCAAATACACTAACTAGATATCAAGGAATATCATGCATTTGATTGTGGAAAAATCTATGTTTATCAACACAAACACTGCATATGTGCATCACCAAGACCACCGCCCGACATGATTGTAGTTGTAGCTTTTACCAAAAAAGCCTATCCAATGTTGGGACTACATGACAGGGCTGTGTGGTCATCTCCCTCTCAAATCCTGGTCTCAACCAGGCCCAGTCGTACACAAACACCTGTGGATCGACCTTAAGCAAGGTTCCCCCAAAGTCGCATTCATTAGTGAATGATCTCGGCCAGTTCAGCCTAAGGTAGGATTTGAACTACTACCGATCACGAATCTGAAGCAACAACCACTATGCTACCAGTAACTGGCATAGTTGTAGTTGCTGTTGGCATGAGCTGGTTGTAAGGACCACACAAGAAATTTAGTCATGAAAATGGATGGATTTTTTTCATAATGAACTCTATTGGTCAAGTGGTTAGGAAGATATATTGAGTTGCTATGGGCATAGTCTCTAGGCCGAAAAATATCCTTTATACATGATCTACTATGTAGAATTTAATTCAAATACAAAAGTGAATCAAAATTTAAAACAAATGCCATAGTGACAGTTGACTATACCAGTTTGACTGAAAGCTATAGTCACAAAATAATCACAAAAATAGCACAGTATGTGTTTTAGAGCACTGCTTTTTGTCCAAACTGTTCTTATAATTATTATTGGAACACTGACATGAATATGTACTTCCATTCCATAAAGTAGAACCTTAGAAACAACACAATATTTGAGGCAAGTAAGTAGAATATATTTACTTTATTAGTAAGCAACACATAACCAAATCATTGAAATATGTATTATTTTTACCATATTCCTTTATGATTTTGCCTCTAAAGTGTACAAACCTTTTGAAACCTTACATGACTGCAATGTGACCTCAGATTGAGATTAAAATTTTTAAATGTTTATCCTAAATATAATCTTTAATCCCATGGGAGAAAGCTATTTTGAACTAAATAAACATAGAACATACCCAGTCATTGAGTATTAGTCATATTTCAAAATATATCCGTAAGAACAATATCTATACTGCTAAATAACATTTATTTTCAATATATGAGAAAATAACTGGTAGCTAATAAAAACATGTAAATTACACCATGACAGAAAATATTAATTTTTGGATAGAATTTGTGAAACTTAAACACAAAGAATTTAGAGTATAAAAATCGTAATATGGTAATACTTTTTTTCAGTTTCATTAATATTAGAGAATGAATTACAGATTTATTAGTATATTTATAGAACAATGACACATCTAATACCAGGTTTTATTCAATCCTGACAAAATGAAAACAATCAGAACAAGCAGCCTATCGGCTGAGATAGCTCCGCTGTTAGCAGTGCACATTTCAATTAAAGAACTGAAGACATCATTAGAAAATGAACAATATGTATAGTATCAAAGCAATCGGACTTACAGTTTTTAACAAGAAGTCGAAAATATCACTTTTTACCAAAAATGACAAAAATATTCACCAAAATTAGAGAATTGAAGGTACCATCACAAAATGAACAAATCTGAGAGAGGTCCACATGTAGTACCTATATATGTAATATCAAAGCAATCAGACTATTGGTTTTTTACAAGAAGTCGAAAATATCACTTTTTACCAAAAATGACAAAAATATTCACCAAAATTATAGAATCGAAGATATCATCACGAAACGAACAAATCTGAGAAAGGTCTACATGTAGTATCTAAATATGTAATATCAAAGCAATTGAACTATTGGTTTTTAACAAGAAGTCGAAAATATCACTTTTTACCAAAAATTACAAAAATATTCACCAAAATTAGAGA